TCTGTAAAATGGGAACAGCATTATCTTGCCCCATAATTACAAAAGTGTATTAAGTTTAGACATCTCAGCACTAGGAAAAAGGGAGATTCCCCAAGGGTTATGAGAAAATTACCTGAGAAACATATAAAAGGAAAGCTCCCTGACACACGCTCGTCTCAATACTTGAAACTCAGTAAAAGGCATAACCAGGCAACCTGTCACCTAAGCCAGAGGAAGACTGGGATAAGTCCAGATGTCTCCTTCTCCCTCACTCTTCAAATCCAACATTAAGTCTTAACTTATTCATTTATATTCCACCATTATTGAATGTCTACTGTAAGCTAGACACTGTTCTCTCTAAAAATGTCTCAAACACGTCCTCTCCTCTCCATCCCAAATACCACCCCTAGTTCAGAGCTCTTGACTGAAATATATTAAAAGCCTCCTAACTTGTCTTCTGACCTCCATTTTCTGTCTCTCCAATCCATCCTCCTCATATATCCAGAGAGATCTTTCAAAAATGCCAATTTTGGGGCTGGCCCAGTGGCATAGTGGTTAAGTTCGCATGCTCCGCTTTGGTGGCCTGGGGTTCGCAGGTTTGGATCCCGGGCGTGGACCTACACATCACTCATCAAGCCATGCCATGGTGGCATCCCACATACAAAATAGAGGAAGATTGGCACAGATGTTAGTGCAGTGACAATCTTCCTCAAGCAAAAAGAGGAAGATTGGCAACAGATGTTACCTCAGTGCCGATCGTCCTCACCAAAAAATAAAAAGCCAATCTATCCATTATGCCTAAAACTCTCTGGTGGCCAAGGATAAAGTTCCAAACAAATATCCAAATAAGGAGGAAGGTTATTGCCAAGGATAAAGTTCCAAATTTCTTAGCATGGCATTAAGGACCCTCTAAGTCTGGCTCGTACCCGTCTAGATGTCCTATTTTCTCTCTTGCCAATCCTGGCTTGGCATTTTACACTTCACCAACACTAAAAGCAGCTGTTCGAGGATACTCCATTCAACATTCTGTTTCCATGTCACTGTTTAGGCTGTCCTCAATGCTTGGATTGCCCTTCCCTTGCCCTTCACTTCATTTCCTTCTCCAAAAAGTCTTCCTTGACTTGCATCCTTCCAGGCTAGGTTACCTGTCCCTTCTCGCTACTCCCATAACTGGCTTTAGTTATTGTTCTTATCAAATTATATTTCCATTTTTCTCAAATACTCCTCTCTCAATTTGGTGGATCCAGTATCAGCCCAGTGATGACTCCCTAAGTGGTGTTTCTTTGTCCTTGTATGTCCCAGACAGGGGCTTCTGCTTGGGCTCTCACCGTCCAAACCTACTCCTTTTAGTCTCCTTCCCTCCCTAATCACCAAGCTTCTGGCCAAGAAGGACTCACCAGCTAACCACAATTTCCCTACTAACTCAACTCCCAGTGCAGAAAAAGGAGAACGGACTTTGGATTCAGATATAGGCTCTAATCCCATTTTTGCCATTTCAAACTCTGAGAATTCAGGCAAGTTATTACTTCCACTCACTGAGTTTCAGCTTCCTCTTAAGTAAAATGAGATAATAATAATTACTTTGCAGAGTTGAGATGATAATAATGCTAGTAATAAAAACAATTAATATTATTACTTATTATGAGTCAAGTATTATGCTAAACACTTTACATTGATCTCATTTAATCCTCACACTCTTTCATGAAGTAGGTTCCACTATTATGGTTATTTTATAGATGAGGAAACCAAAAAGAAGCTAATTTACTCACCCAGGTCATTGTGGTAGACCATGGGCTGGCTGACCCAAAGCTCATTCCCAATCCTCTCTGCCTTTTGACTATTAAGGCTGGAAAAGCTAAATACTCACTTTCCCAGCCTTCCTGGCACTTAGGAGCAGCCAGGTGGCCCAGTTCTGACCAATGAGATATACACAGATATACACAGATATACACTGCTGGGGGAATTTGGGAAAGCCTTGCTTCCCTAGTAAAAGGACTGATAAATAAATGGCAAGCAATAGGACATAGTGGAGTATATGAGGAAGCCATTTGGTGTAAAACTAATTCCGCCTGACCTTGTTTTTCCAAAAGGGCCTGTGGCCTTTGAACATGCATTGTATATCTGCTTTAAGCATTTACCATGTCCCAAAGACAAGAACAAATGCCCTTAAGATAAGGGTGCAACTTCCCCCACACTGGCATTTCCTTAAGAATAAGCATTTCTCTCTAGGCTGGGATTTGATTGCTATGCTTATCCTGTGACCACCCAACTTGAGACAACAGACCTGCTACCTGTTGTGTCCACAATTGCTGTGCTGACAAGACAATCTCGCGACTACTGTAAAAGGGACGTTGCAATCATATGTGAGACATGCTCTGTGACGGTATATAACTGCTCTGTACAACCCACTTCTTTCGTGAAGGAAGGCCCTGGGCTATATGGTCCTCAAATTTGGCTCATAATAAACTCACCCCAATTTTAATTTATAGATTGATTATGGATTATTTCCGTCAACAGGACAAACATTACTGATGTTGCCCTACGCCCTCCTTTTCCCACCTTGATCACAGACATGATGCCTACATCTGTGGCAGACATCTTAGATCAACAGGGAAAAGCCAAAAGAGTCAGGGGATACTGGTCTTGAAATTACTGACCTAATAAATAAATGCCACCTGCCACCGACCTCCAGACTTCTTTTTATTTGAAAAAAATATACCTCCTATTTGTTTAAGCTACCATTAGTCAAGTCATCCAGTAGCATCTTCAGGTATTTATAAGTGATATGCACTAATCAAATGATGGAGCTAAGATTCAAAACTAGGCAGTCTTAACCACTAAGCTATATGAGAGACACCTAGCACTGGACTTGGTAGGGAAAGTGTACTCAAATGATGAAAATGATTATAATCACTCAGCCTGCCTCCTCAAGGCCCCAAGTTCCTCTGGAAACTCAGGATTGCCTATAACCTAAATCACAACAGAGCTGCTCAGGAATAAGCCACCCCTTTTGGACACTGTGCCCAGCCCTCTGGTCTGCATTGCTGAATTAGGTCTCCCAGTTCAGGGTCTACCCTAAGCAGGGACGAGGGAAGGCAGGTCTGGAGTCAGCTCTGGGCTGCTCGCCCCTACCTATCTCAAGGTATCACAAAGATTCCAGGCCTCCCGCCCTATAGGCCCAAGACGGCAGAGTTCAAGGAATTCAGCGTAAACTTACAATTGTGACAGCACTTGTGGTGACAGTGAAGGCCCAAGCTTCTCCCTGGCAGCCAGAGACCTTTGGCGGTAACAAGAAGTGTGGTTTTGTAGCTTAAACAAGACCAAGTACTATTGATTTTTCTGCCTCTTCTCCTGCTGAGAGCAGTAACAGCAAAAATCTGATTTAGACACTTAAATTCAAGTACCTTCCCCACCAGCTGAGCAATTTTCAAGTAATCACACTTTTGACCTCACCCAACATGAGTCCTTTTAAAGCCAATTTTTGGGGCCAATTATTTAGTTTTTATAAGATGTGCAAGGAAAATGATAGGATTATTGGCTATCTTCCTGGAAACTGTAGTTTCTATTCTCGTGTCCAGAGTTTAGAGCTGCCTGCTCACAGACCTCCCAATCTATCTGAGAAGGGGCCAGCTACCCCTCTGTCATAGCTGACACATGTGTCATAGCTGACACATGACCTCTGTTTCTAAAGCTGTTTGGAACTCAAAGGGTATTTCCCAGAGGAATTATGACAGTCACAGTGGCAAGATTCCTAAACAAGCTCACAGAATTGGGAGAAAAGAGAAGGCCTATTTATTGAACATATACTAAATGGCAGATATGAGCATCAGAATCATCTAGGGAGCTTGTGAAGACACAGACTGCTGGGAACCACCTCCAGAGTTTCTGAATCAGTAGGTCTAAGGTAGGGCCCAAGAATTTGCATTTCTAACAAATTCCTAGGCCTGGAGACTTAGAAGACACTGCTATAAGGTATAAATCAATCAGTCACAGAGACTTTGAAAACCCACAATTGGCCACCTTCAAATGTTGGAAAAATCTCTCCAACCCTAAGAAGAGATTTGCTATATCAGGCTATTACTCATCTTGCTTACAGCCCTTTTTATTTTATTTTTTTATTTTTATTTTTGTGTGTGTGAGGAAGATCAGCCCTGAGCTAACATCCATGCCAATCCTCCTCCTTTTTGCTGAGGAAGACCGGCTCTGAGCTAACATCTACTGCCAATCCTCCTCCTTTTTTTGCCCCAAAGCCCCAGTAGATAGTTGTATGTCATAGCTGCACATCCTACTAGTTGCTGTATGTGGGACGCCGCCTCAGCATGGCCAGACAAGCAGTGAGTCGGTGCGAGCCCGGGATCCGAACCCGGGAGGCCAGTAACAGAGCGCGCGCACTTAACCGCTAAGCCACAGGGCCGGCCCGCTTATAGCCCTTTTTAAAAAACAAAAATAAAAACAACCCTCCCTCACCTCCCCCCTGCCGCTCCACAAAACCCCGTAAAAGCCAATAGTGACAGGTTTCTACAGGTTTCTCTTTAACTAAGGACCAGATTCCTAATGCTTCAGGACACTGGGCAATGCCTGTGGGTTTTCAGAAGAGGAATTCTCCTAGAAGCTCCAGGCAATACACTCTGGAAGAAAGAACAAGTCTGCCGTGGAGGTTTACCAGTCTCCCAAAGTGTGCACAGACTACTTACTACCAGCTGCTATTAAGAAAAAAAAAATCTGGGGCCAGCCCCGTGGCGTAGTGGTTAAGTGTGCACGCTTCACTGCTGGCGGTCAGGGTTCGGATCCCGGGCGCTCACCAACACACCACTTGTCAGGCAGGCCATGCTGTGGCGGCCTCCCATATAAAGTGGAGGAAGATAGTCACAGATGTTAGCCCAGGGCCAGTCTTCCTCAGCAAAAAGAGGAGGACTGGCATGGATGTTAGCTCAGGGCTGATCTTCCTCACAAAAAAAAAAAAAAAAAAAAAAAAAAAAAAAAAAAGTCTTTAAAAGAATGATCTCAAGCTTTTTCCATAACACATCTGTGCTCACAACAGTAATGATCAGAGGTGGATGGGTACAAGGAATAGAGAAGAGAGAGTGTGTGTGAATGTATTCTGGGGGGATGGGGAAACTAACAAAGAGCAGATAATTCTGAGACACATCCATGGTAGCTTAGGAGCTGTGAATGGGTTACAGGTGAATTGAGATACTGATTCCTTAAGCATTCAGGGTGTCTGGGAAGGAAGTAGGGCACAGGAGCTTCTGGGCAGCCTTGTCAGTTTATCTAGAGTTCTCTGCAAATTCATCATCATATCTGTGTGGAAGCACTGGCTTAGAGCTAACTGTGAATCACTGCTTTAGAGAAGAGTCTTAAGACAAAAAACGTTTATCCAAACACTGAGGCCAATTTGCCAGAGACTTATAGGCCTCTGAAAAGGCTTCATTTTTAGGTGCTTGATCATTTAGTCATTTATTCATTCAACCAATCAATATTCACAAAGAGTTTACTTTGTGTTAGGCACTGTGTTAAGCACTGAGGACAGTGATTGCCTGTAAGAGTAATGAGTGTTACAGAAATCTAAACAATTATAAGGCAGTAAATAATACAGCTCAGTGGTTAAGAGCATGGAGCATCCAAATTTAGAGTTGATTCTGGCTCCGCTACCTTCGGGCTCTGTGACAGGGACAAGTCTTTCCATCTTTCTTAACTTGTGTCTATATCTATTAAAACTTGGATAATAAGGGTTAAGTAAAAAAAAAAATGACCTAGTTCTCAAACTGGGTACAAGACTCCCTGTGGGCACTCAACAATACACTAGAGGGTACATGAAAGCATTGAATAAATATGGTGCACTTTGTCAGGATGTTAATTTTACCAGATGGTAAATATTTCAAAGTATTTGTTTTACAGAAAACAACCATAACTATATAATGGTGACTTAAGGCAAAATTCATATGAATTTTGAAAATAAGACATGGACTTAAATTTTCACCTTGGAGTACCTGCTCTGGGCTATTCCCCTATTGATCCAGGGATGAATTCATTCACCTCTGATGTCAGGTACACTTGGGTAGGAAAGTTTCCAAAACACTGTGCACACTGATAATGGATGCTCAACAAAAAGCAACCATTATTGTTAATAATATATAGCTGTGATTATTAATCCATCCACAGAAGAGACAAACTTACTCTGTAGTGTTTGGGGCATAAGAGGGTATCCTCTCTACCCAGGTATCCTTTTTTTCCCAAGCTCTGGACTTCTTCAGTTCCTGCCCAGAAACCCTGTGACTCCTTTGGGAAGTGGAACTCCGGGAAGCAGGCCAATTCTGCCCCCAAATGCCAGGGAGTTCTCTTCAAAACACACAAAAAAGAAGTTTCAGCACTAGCAAAGTAGCTAATCTCATCAATCTCCTGGCCTCCCCTGGGGCCTGGAACTGCCCAAGCACTTAACCTCTAGGATAAGAACAGTCTGTCCAATCATCGACCCAGCTCCATTCCTGACTAGCTTTGTCTCATTTAAAATGCTCTTACAGATCAATTATCTCCTTAAAATCTCACAAACAAGTGCTAGATAGGGTAGGTGTTATTATTCCTAGAGGAATAATATTTCCTCCTCTATTTATAGAGGAGGAAACTGAGGCCTTCTAAGTAAAGTGACTTGTTCAAGTTTTTAGTTAAAGGCAGAGCCAGGGGTCAAACTCAGGTCTTCTGACTTCAAGCGGGGGATCTCCGCAGTACATTAAGCAACAGAAGTCATTCCAATGAGAATCTACGCAGCATAGCCAAAAGCTCTTCAAGTCCTTTATCAACATCCCACCGGTTTTCAGCTGTATTCAGGGCCACAAAATTATATTTCCATTGACTAAGAACTGTAAGTAATTAATTGAAAACAAAATTAAATTGCATGAGCTTAATTAGTAGGAAAAGGGAACTCACTGGTGGTGGCTATGGCTATACCTGACCTTTCATAGGAGGATACTTGTGAAAAGACTCTCATGGTTTCCTACTGATCTTGCCCAAGAACGTCAGGAGCTCTGGGGCAAGAAGCCCTGGGCTGCTAGAAGGTACTGCCACCACAGGAGACGGTTCTCACACCATCTTCCCTGTTTCTGAACCCTTCATTAACACCAGGGATGGGGGCACAGAAAATTGTGTTCAAGAAGAGTCAAAAGAAATAGATTAAGGGAATGAGGTAGCCAGTTTTACAACAAGAGAGCTAACAAAAATTTATAGATTAATGCCCAGAATGTTAGCTGGAAAGGAAATTGCTAAACAGCTCACTTAAGCCCCTCATAGCCTGGATGGGAAATTGAAGGCAAGAGAGATGGGCAGGACTTGTCCAGTGTCTTGCAGTCATTAGTAGTAAAACCAGACCAGGAACTCAGGATGTCAGCGATTAACTGCCCAGAGGAACTCAAGGAACTCAAGGGTGGGTTCAGAAGCATTTAACTGTTTTTCCAAATTGTTTTTCCCTTTTGTTATGTTAATGAGATGCAATCACCAACCACCCTGAACCAGACTAAGCCTCACCACAAGAGCTACGCCTGCCTGGGACCTTTGCCTTATTTTTAATGCTAAGATCTTTCCAGGAGGAGCTTAAGCCTTATAACCATAACCTGCAGTGTATGTGGAAACATGTTTTCCAACTGAGCCTGCACAAGCGAATACCCACCTCTCCCTTTTGAATATTCATTATCCATCCAAAATAAAAGGTCCCTGTTTCTCTTTGTTCAGGGAGCCATGACTTTGGAAATGATTCCACATGATCTCCTATTTGCTGCAAATACATTTTACTTTGTGTGTCAACTACTTCTGGTGGAGAGTCTGATTTAACTTGCCAGGAGGTGACCCCACTTTGGGTTCAGTAACAAGAACTCCGCCTCGAGCTTCAAGACCTAGTTCCGTGCTTGACTTCTCAGAAGCCTTTCCTGACACCAATCTCTGACAGACTTGTGGCCCCTTCCCCATACCGACCATGTTTCCACAGCAATATATACATCTATTTATTATGTTAGGCTTTTGGAATATAGTGGCACATCCCCCCCCTCCTTTTTTTTTTGTGAGGAAGATCAGCCCTGAGCTAACATTTGTTGCCAATCCTCTTCTTTTTGCTGAGGAAGACTGGCCCTGGGATAACATCCCTGCCTATCTTCCTTCACTTTATATGGGATGACGCCACAGCATGGCTTGACAAGCGGTGCATCAGTGTGCGCCCGGGATCTGAACCCCGGGCCGCCGCAGTGGAGCGCACACGCTTAACCACTACAACACCGGGCTGTCCCGGCACATCCCTTTGAGATAGCATTTGTCTCAGTGTACTGTAATTGTCTCCTTACATGTCTGTGTGTTTCCCCTTCTTACAGATCCGTGCTGGTTAAGGTGGGGAGTCTATGGAGGGGCAATATACAAAAAGGACACACAGTCATTGTGTGTGTGTCTTCATAAAACTGATAAGCTTACAATTTGAAGAACAGAGTATATAAGAAAACCGGAAGGTCAGAGTTCATCCCAACCAGTTCATTCAGGTCTCCTCCTATGGCAACAGAACCCTTTCATCAAACAAAATCTCACCTGGAAGTCTAATATATAAAATAGGCATGAGCAGATCTCTACCAGAGGGGAAGGGAGCACCTATTTGGCTTACCGGTGCCATTTAATAGCTCCTAAAGCATCTTGAGGAGCACCCTCCTCATTTTTTGAGTAAGGAAACTGAACCAAAATAAAGGAACACTTTTATTCTAGGCCTTCCCCTCATTCAGCATGGAATAGAAGTCAAAGTAGGGTCTTTGGAGCCCGACCAAACCGTAATGAAATCCTCTATTACCTTAGAAAGTCATTTTAATCTCCCTGTATCAGTTTTTCCATCTATAAAACTCAGTAATAATACAGTCATGCATTGCAAAAAGACATTTCGGTCAACAACGAACGACATATATGATGGTGGGTCTCATAAGATTAGTACCTTATAGCCTAGGTGTGTAGTAGGCTATACCATATAGGTTTGTGTAAGTATACTCTATGATGTTCACAGAGTGACGAAATCGCCTAAGGATGCATTTCTTAGTACGTATCTCTGTCACTAAGTGATGCGTGACTGTATCTTGTGGGGATGTTATGAGGATTAAACGAGATGAACTATATAAAGCATCCAGCTCATGACTGGTATAACTTGGTGCTCAATAAATAGTCACTATAGAACTACTATTACTAGAATCAGGGCTGGAACCTGGTGTTCCCCAGAGCTGTGTTGAACAAACACACTGCCAATCAAAGAATGTCTTCCCAGAGAAAAGATGTGAGGGCCAGCACCCTGGAGGGTGATAAAGTAAGTCTGAAATACCTTAATGCAAAACCTTAAATGAAATCTCTCCAAGAATAAGCAAGCACCTAAATCTTAATTCAAAGGTCTTAGCATGGCAATGAGTAAAGATTTTTTTTTCACCAGAGCAGAAGACAGGGAACAAAGTAAGCTATAGGATAATATTTCCATCATTTTATAGAAATATGCCAATGACTGAATACACTGTTGGGACTTCAGCTAATTCTGCATCTGTCTGTCACTGAACAAACACGTGGAAAGCACACGTTTCCCACCATCAAGCAGGATGATGGCTATTCTTTATGTGCAAAGAATAGTGTGATATATCAAGACCTTACTCAGAAAAGAAAAGAAATCCTTAGCTGATACTTTGTTTTTTATACAACGGTAACAAACCTTTTTTTGGGGGGGCGGGGTGAGAAAGATTGGCCCTGAGCTAACATCTATTGCCAATCTTCCTCTGTTTGCTTGAGGAAGACTAGCTCTGAGCTAACATCTATGCCAATCTTCCCCTACTTTGTATGTGGGACACCGCCACAGCATGGCTTTCACAAGCAGTGTGCAGGTCCATGCTCGGGATCTGAACCTGTGAACCCCAGGCAGCCGAAGCAGAGCATGTGAACTTAACCACTACACCACCAGGCTGGCCCCACAAACTTTTTTTATATGACTCCAAAGCTTTTTTTAAAAGGATACCTATTTTGGGAGTGATGTCATGGAAGATGGCAGAATATGTAGCTCCAGAAATTCATCTCTCCACCAAAACTGAGGTGGCCGAAACTGTCTGAAATAACTCTTTTGGAGCACTGGAGTCTAGTTAGAAAACTTGCAGCATTCAGGGGGAGCTCGATGAAGAGGCTGGTAAGTTTCAGTTAATTTCAGTCTTTTGCCCAGCAGCTACCATGCCCCATCAGAGAAGCAGGCAACAGTTGGGGGTGGAGGCCCAAGCTCCTGGTACCACTTGCTGGAGCTAGGATGGGCAATAAGGACCTTGTCCTCCAAATATCGGGTTTATGTGTTTGACTGTTGATTACTGCTTTTGATGGCTGAGGGGCGGCACAGACGCTGGCAGCCATGGTTCAACCTCCATGGGCTGAAGTTTATTCCAGGGGATTTAAAGAAACAGATGAATGGATGAACAAAGTGTGGTATATACATACAATGGAATATTATTCAGCCATAAAAAGGAATGAAGTTTTGATACATACTACAACATGGATGAACTTTGAAAACATCATGCTAAATGAAATAAGCCAAATAAAAGGACAAATACTGTATGATTCCACTTATGTGAAATATCTAAAATAGGCAAATTCATAGAGACAGAAAGTAAATTAGAGGTTAAATTAGGGGCTGGAGGGAGGGAGAAAGGGGAAATTATTGTTTTGTGGTCATAGAATTTTTGTGTGGGCTGATGACAACGTTCTGGAAATAGTGGGGATGGTTACACAACATTGTGAGGGTACTTAATGCCACTAAATCTGACACTTAAAAATGGTTAAAATGGCAAATTTTATGTATATGTTGCCACAATAAATAAGGTAAAAAAAAATTTTTTTTTGGTGAGGAAGATTGGTCCTGAGCTAACACCTGTTGCCCATCTTTCTCGTTTTGCTTGAGGAAGAGTGCCCCTGAGCTAACATCTGTGCCCATCTTCCTTTATTTTGTATGTGGGATGCCACCAAAGCACAGCTTGATGAGTGGTGTAGGTCTGCGCCCAGGATCTGAACCTGCGAACCCCAGGCTGCCAAAGTGGAGTGCACCAAACTTAACCACTGCACCACCAGGCTGGCCCCCAAAACTTTTTTTTTAAGTATACCTATATTTCACTTAAGGTGACACTTACAAGCTATATAACCTTGGGAAAGTTACCTAATATAGTTGAATCTTATTCTCTCATATACAAAATAATAATAGCTCCCCCTTGTAGGGTTATCATAAGAATTGAAGATAGTGTTTGTAAAGTGGCTGGCACTCCATTAACAGTCATTAATGATAGTTATTACTATAATTATCAACAGCAAAAATAATATTGTAATTAACATAAACATAATGACAATAACTTAATTCAATGCATATTTAATGAGTAACTAACTGCCAGCTCTGTTCTAGGCATAGGAGGTACATGACTTCTACCCTTAAGGAGCTCATTTATTTCATGTCTAAAAAGAAGTCTGACAATTCCTTGGAGCTTCTAAAAAGACATGAAATAAATGAACAACTCCTACAGAGACTAGGAAGCCAAGAAGGCACAGGGGAATAATAAACCAACACCAAACTTCCTTCTTTAGGGGAAAAGGTTGGTCTTTTCTACAGAAGTGGGAAATCATTTTGTGATCCATGAAAGTAAATCAGTCACAAGCAAACAGCAAATTAGTTTAATGCACATGATTCTTGCCCAGGCAAGATTTAATCCTTCTGCTTTTTTGTATTGACAGCACACATAACGTATGAAAGGCAGACACACTCACCACTTATGTTCTCTCCAAAACCCAGACAGACCTTGCCTGACAGCTTGGTGGAGGGGGAAAAGCACTGGATTTGGAGTCCACTAAACCTAAGCTCTAGTCTTAGCTTTGCCATTTACTAGCAGTATGGACTTGCACACATTTATTAACTTTTCTGAGTCTTTCTTCATCTATAAAATTGATGTTCTCATAAGAATTTCTACCTCACAGTACTGTTATAGGATTCAATGAAATGACAAATGGTAAAGAATTTTTAAATTGTAAAGTATTGTACTTCTTATCTATTATTATATGTGGTTTTGTGGGCCTTGGTTTTTCAAGCTCCAGAGAAAATTTGTCATAGGAGAGTCAATTTTTGTTTTTAAAAGTTGAATCTGGCTTTGTTAGCAAAGAAGCCAAGACTCAAAGTGAGCCAGTCCAAGGCTGACTACATAGATAATACAGGAGGTTTGAGGACAGCTCTTCCTTGTTAAGAAGCTCAAAGGAATTGTCCGACTTCAACTATCATTGTTCCAAAAAAGAAAATTTGTCATAAACCAAGCAGGCAAGGGGAAAAGTTCCCCTTTTGTTTTCTCTGAGGATCTTTGCTATCTCTACATAACTAATAGCAGAAAAATCTCCCTGTTCCATCTGGCCCATCCAGAGGGGTTGACCAGTCACAACAGATCATCCAAATTAAATTTTCTGAGCCTTATTTCATTCACCTACAAAGCAAGAAAAAAGTAGCCACACTGGCTACTTGTCCCAGACTCTCCTTGCCATGGCAGAGAGCTACTCATTAACAAGGGCAGCCAAATCAAAGGAGTCTCTCCCTCAATCCCACCTCATCCTTCTTTGATGCGACCTCCTTTACTCAGTAGATTCCCATCTTCCTCCCC